TGTGGGATGCTTTCAACCCAGTGCTGTGGTTTATTCTAAATATTTCATTTCCATCCTCCCACTGCTGCAGGCTCGGACAGCAGCTGGAGAACCAAAGAGCCCTGGGGAGTTTCTGGCTCTTGGCACCATCCTGGGCAGAGGAGTCCTAAAACCCTGGAACAATTTGTGTTGGAAGGATCTCCAAGCTCATCCAGTGCCACCCCTGCCATGGCAGGGACACCTTCCACTGTCCCAGGGGCTCCAAACCCTGTCCAACCCGGCCTCTGACACTTCCAGGGATCCAGGGGCCTCCCCACCCTCCCAGGCAGGAATTCCTTCCCAATATCTCCCCTAAATCCCGAGCCAGTGAAGAAGAAGGCAGGAATGGAAGGAAAAGCAGGATTTGTCAAAAATCTTCTTCCTACAAAACCCCCAGCTGTGCCTGAGGGGTTTTCAGGGCTCAGCAGAGGACAGTGCCTGCAGAACTCAGGGAAAACCAGCAGGAATTCAGGATTTAACAGCAGGAAATGCCTCTTTTTGGTGAGAAAAAGGGAATTTAGCATGCTGAGAACCCCCTTTGCATGAGCGGGACTGTGGCTACCAACACGGACACCCCGAGCTGATCCCAAAAAATCCATCCCTGTGATGAAACCGAGCCCAAAGACTTCCCAAATCCTGCAGGATCTGCACATCCCACAGCACTGGGACCCCCAGGTCCTGCCAGAGGGGCTCTGCAGCCCAGTCTCCTGCCTCGGCACAGGGAGGGAAGGTTTCTCCAGCTGCCGAGGTCTCATCCATTATTCATCCTGCTCTTGGAAGAGCTGTTAAGTTCCTAGTGGGAAATTAATCTTGCCATAATGAGGTTTGGATTTCTCCAAGAGTTTAAGCACTGCCACTCAGAGCTTTTTCCCTGCAGCCTGAAGCCCAGGGCCCTCCAGGAAACATCATTTTGCCATTATTGCTCAAGGATTAAGCAGATTTCCAAGGATTTGCCAGGTTTGTAGGTTCCCCCGCCGCCTGAGGGTTTGCGGGCATTCAGGTGGAATTTGGGAGGCGGGAGGAAATCCTGCTTATTCCTAATCCTGGTTTAACCCCCACAGGAGCCAGCCCATCCTCATCCCACCCTTTCCTCTTTTCTCCTCCTCCCACAAAAGCAAATCCTCATTTCAATCCTCAGTTCAGTTCCATGGAGCTGCAGCAGCTGAGCAGGAGCTGACAACTCAACCTCCACGTGAATTTAAAGAATTCCACCTGATTTGAAAGAACTCCATCTGGTTTTAAAGAACTCCACCTGATTTGAAAGAACTCCACCCGATTTTAAAAAATTCCAACTGGTTTTAAAGAACTCCACCTGATTTTAAAGAATTCCACCCAATTTTAAAGAGCTCCACCTGATTTTAAAGAATTCCTCCTGATTTTAAAGCATTACACCCGGTTTTCAAAAATTCCACCTGATTTGAAAGAATTCCACCTGGTTTTAAAAATTACACCTGGTTTTAAAGAATTCCACCTGATTTTAAGGCGTTCCATCTGATTTGAAAGATCTCCACCTGATTTTAAAGAATTCCACCCAATTTTAAAGAATTCCACCTGATTTGAAATAACTCCACCTGGTTTGAAAGAATTCCACCCAATTTTAAAGAATTCCACCTGGTTTTAAAGCATTCAAGCAACTGTCCAACATCCCAGAACTCCTCCATCCTGGAAATACTTCTCTGGAAGCAGAAAATTCTTTCCCAAATTACCCAAGCTGGACTGAGCTAAAAGCAGGGACTGACCCTGCTGGAACTGAGCTCTCCTGACCCCACAGCACCTGAATCCATCAGAGATATTTAAAGTTTCATTCCCAGCACGTAAATGCTTTCTCAGGCCACTGCTTTAATGTGACAGACCTGAGATCTGATGGGGACAAGGCAGGAAAGCAGCTCCCACATGCAT